TCCGTTACAGTTACTACCTGAATGATAACACATTTAGAATACATCAGACAAAAAAATTAATGCCATATATTAATTTCGTAGATACATAGTAACTTCATATTATGTGTAGGGATATTTCACTTAAAGATAAGCAGATAGTCTGCTTTCTAATAACTAAACTATTACGCCACGTTAGGTCATTTCCATGTCTTGGTATTATGTACATATGTAGTTGCTCTTTACAAAACTATATGTAACTTTGGTATGAATAAGTAAATATTTAATGAATTTACCACTTGAAATTCTCCCTTCATAGTATTTATCTAATTACTTACCTGAAATTACTTCTTACCTTTCGCACATACACAGATATGTTTGTATGTAGTCATCTGAAAGCTAAATAACGAGACAGATTATCTACATAAACTAAGGTTACACGCGTACTTAAATTTGGTTATGGATTTTATGTATCGATTAATTTTCCCTAATTACAAACCATTCAACGTATGAATGTAACAGCCATTCCTGGCTAGATTACTTTATCATAAATATTCAAATACATACGTACAAAGTCCTAAATATAATACTATTTATAACACTAATCTATATGTATGGATGTGCCTCATCATTACTTTGGCTAATTTCCGCTCCAAAATTTAACCTTTAACATTCTCATGTGCATTTTACGTCCACGTACACATTGGCAAAATTGCCTTTTCACCATAGAATTTACAAGCGGACTGGGATAATCTTTAACCGCATCAGTAAAGACAAAATAAACGGAGCTAAAAAATTTATACATTTTACAATTTATATTATACAATTTATTTAAAATTTATGTCAAATAACCACTTAGTCAAATTAATGATTAAGTTATGCATCACATTGCTATTACCCGGACTAATCGATTCAGCAGAAACAGTTTCCACTCTGGACAATTTTCTAACCTTCCGTGACACCAACTGCGATCTGCATATCATTCATGACGCCGTCGATTCTGACATCTTCCACACAAAGGGACATCAAATTCAGCCCAGAGTGATTATCCATTCTGAGAGCCCTTACAAACCTGGAACAATTGACGTGTTCCAGACTCGACCAGGTCCCTGTCATGTATCACTGTTCCTTATAAATTTCTATCGCTTCCCACAAATTTGCTGTCAAGAAGAAAACCATGATTTACCCAGATTGTTTGAAATTGCACAAAATTGGCAACTTCACTTCATCGAGGATAACCTTAAAAGACCGATCCCTACAAAAAATATGTACACAGTAATCCTAGCAAACGGCGAGAAATCAAGTCAAGTCTACAATAATAAACAAATTTTCTCACAGAACATTTACAATTTCGCTGTTTTATACATTTCTGGAAATCGTATCGTCAATATTTGCATTAAAACGTTTGACATTTCTCAAAATGTTAAATGTTTCGAAAAAGTACTTCCTACCAGCAAATTATTCACGGAGCTGCTCCACCTGGCGCCTAAATTCTGGACGGTATCATACGACCAGAAAAAACTGCCTAACTTGAAATTAATCAATGCCCCAATATCCCTTAACCCCTTCAATCAAAGTGGTGACCCTTTCACTGTCGAACATCTCGCACGGAGTGTTTTTAACAGAGCAAACGTCACCGCAGTCTCTCTTTTTACTTGCATCGAACTCCACACAGCTTGTGGATGGGTGCGACTTCGCAAGATTTCATTGGGTGACGGATATGCAAAATCAGCACCCGTGATGTGGGCCGGCTACCAATTTTTGTCTTGTTTTAAGGAGACCTTTATCAGCTTTAAATTCTACGTGTTTCCGTTCCAGAAAGAGGTTTGGGTAACGCTGTTTGTCTCGATTGTTACCGTTGTCACGTCAATTTATCTGTACATAAAATTATTCACGGGTGAGAGGAAGATCTCATTTTGCCCCTGGTTATTCATCCTCTCCACACTTTTTGAAGAACCGCCAGCAATCTCGGATAAAAAACTGGAGGCCCATTTCATATTCCGCTTTGTCTTGGGAAGTTGGTGTTTAGTGTCGGTTATATTAACGAATTGCTATAATGGGTTGATGATCACTGATTTGAATGCACCACTGGGTTCTGTACAGCCGAAAAGTTTTAGAGACTTAATTTGTTGGCAGAATGGCCAATTAGGTGGCCACCAAAATCGCAAGGAATTAGAGGAATACGTTGACCCTTCACTGCTCACGTGGTACTCCTTGGCGGTGACTGCCCACACGAATCAATACAGTCTGGATGAGAATTACACGAATTTTCGAAATCCGTACGTATCTAAGGATTGTTTTAAATTGTTGTCACCTGCGCAGGAACACCTGTCCTACCGAGTACCTTATTTCCAATTTGTTTCCTTTTTGCTTACCGAGTATAGCAAATCGCGGGAATCTTCCCATTCTTTCAAAAATAATGATGTCATCTCTCCAGCCACAGAGTTATTATATTTGAATCTGCTTCATCCCCGCCAAGGCCAATTTCCTGGAGGTCTCGACTATTCGAAGAACCAATATTTACCGGACGACGTAAATCGAAAGATAGAAACTGAAATTGTTGATTGCTCCCAGAAAAACGTTTTCGTCACGAGTGACGAGGATTTTCATGTGCAGTACAAATTTCTCAAGGAGAACTATTTCTCAAAGGAATTTTATACAGGAAAAGATGTCTTGGATTCTAAACTTGTCGCGTTAGTATTTTTCAAAGAAGGGTATTCAAAAGTGCCGCGGTATTCCGAGGGGTTAGTTGAGACCGGGATTTACGCCAGGATTGAGGAGGAAATTGAGACGAGGCAAGTTCTGGATCGAATCCGTGGAAAGAAACGTGTCATCGAAGACGAAACTAAACCATTTGGATTAAATGGTGCAATATTCACGTTGTTCATCCTTTGTGGATGCGTAATTCTGGGTGCAGCGACTTCTTTCGTCTGTGAGTGTTACGTTTATGCCGTTGAATGTTTTAGAAAGATTTTTTGCATGGTAAACAAATTTATTAGCAGGGTAAAAATCTTAAAATAGATAATTAGATTTGTGTTTTACATTATTTGTCGTCATTGTGTCCAATATTTGTGAATAAATACATCGTAAATAGGAAATGATAATTCCCAACTGAAGTCACGACTGTGCAACTATGTTTTCAAGAGGAATCTACTATCGATGTGGAGAGATTGTATGATATGTAATTGTACTTTTAAAAAATATACAAACCACAATATTAAAAAGATGCTAAAAATAGAAACCATTTAGTTATTCGAGGCATGGAATTGGGAAAGTAATTAAGCACGATTGTAGCAAATTATTTTCTCAAATTCTAAGATGCAAACCGTAACTTTTTTTAAAAAGTTAGTATTCTAGATACTAATTAACCACAATTTAAGGCTGTAAAACTTGTAATAATAACTTGGGCTGTTAATACCTACATATGTAAGTATGTAAATGTTCGAAAAGGTAGACAGTGTTCTTATCGACATGTGTATTAGTTCTGCAGAATTTGTAATATGAGACACACAACTTCTGCCTACAGAACTACGCCACGTATAAAGATACCGTAAATACTCTATTTATAGGCGGAGCTAAAGTTCCAAACTGGGTATCGCAGACCCGGCTACAATTAGAGACCCGGCTAAATTTTGTTCCGCCGATAATTTTATAAATTATAAAATCATGCATAAATCATGATAACTCAATTTGAGATTTTATTCAACACGTTACACTAATCGTAAATCATTTTCTTTAAATCTAAAGCAAAATCATCTTCTTTAAAAGAAGTTTAGTAGCTTTTTTAAATTGTTTGTCCCGATTGTATTCATTCTTTTAAAAAATAAAATTAAAAGTTTTATTAGTCCCAATCAAATTTGTTGATTAACGAAATGTGCAACATTTTTTAGGACAAGCCACGAAAACAGACCGCAAACAAAACAGGCCATAATTAGAAACCCGGCAATAATTAGAGACCTGGCTAAAATTTTGAAATCTTGGTCGCTAGACCCGGCTATATTTGGAGACCGGCTATAATTAGAATAGGGCTATAAATAGAGGTTTGATACCAAATCGTCACATGGTTTCTGCATGGTCCCTTGCGGTATGATAATTTAATAAATAAATGCATATACAAATCTACAAATGTACGGACATGTCGGTATTTATCTAATAGAATTCCCCGATATTCGGACTTTATTTCAGGAAAACGGCGCCTTGCCTTGCCAGACCGGCCTTATTTCTGGGTTATCTTACCCGTGCATGACCAGCCATCATATTTATTTGGTAGAGCACTGTTTTAGCTTGAAACTAAACTCGATCGGGTCAAATAGACGTCGTTTTCGAGAAATAAATTCCGGAAATTTTTGTATTTTGCTCTCATATGCATGTGCATTGAATTTTACCCGGATTTTTCTGGGTTACCTATCTCGACCACCGTTCTGGCTACAAAATAAGGTCCGAAAGTTGGACGCCGTTTTCGAGAAACTTAATTCAGAAAATTAGTTCGACTGTTTACTTTTTTTTCGAAGGTGTAACATTGAAAATGGACATATTTTTAGCAAATTTTAATTCAAAGTTTATTTTTATTCCCATCATACGTACATTTTATACATGATTCATGTTTATTTGTGGAGTCCGTAATTGAAACATTGTGATTTTTCCGGAGAAATGTTGCATAGGGGAATTATTGGGATGTAATGTGAGAATATGTAAATATGTGTGTGGATCAGGGTTACAAGTGATATATCTATATCACTGAGTGAGATTTAGTGAGATTTAATGATATCCCAGGCTGCACAATCACGAGATTATCACCAATTTTTAACGAATCTGGCGACCCCAGTTTTCGTGTTAGCGACGTGGGAGACTGGTATAGATTTGGTGCTCAACTGGGTGCAAGTGTCGCGATTTTTAACGTATCTTATTCGTTCTAAACACGTGTTGAAGGAACGAGTTTCGCGACCAAATCACGAGAATAACCCCAAAAAAACACGTATTAAAAAGTGAAATTATACGTTCAGAACACGAGATTTATTTGCAAATTAGATGCGGGAATTATGATTTATTACTGACCATTAACATTACATAAAGTTTTAAATCCAAATAACAATAAAAAATTGTGAAAAAAATCAATTGTCTGATTCTGGTCCAGTATTTCTTAATGGAAGAGCTGCATTGGACTTCTCCAACTTTTTCCTAATTAAATAAAGTAAAAATTATGAAAGTTTTATAAATAGGTACAAATAATATTGCATTTTGTCCTACCTATCCGATTCAATACGCTTGTTGGAATTTTTGAGCCAATTTTTAATTGCTTCCCAAACCTCGTCGTCGTCAGCGTTGCCCAAGTTTTCCAGTCCTTGAATTGCCTCTGAAAACACAGCAATTTCATTGGTGAATTTAATTTAAAGGAGCGCATTATATATTTAATTAATTCACATACAACTAATTTACCATATATAATGTGCTTCATCCATGATTTTGAAAAAGGTGACTTCGGTCCTCTTGAACCTAGATTTGCACTTAGATTTGACTGCGTGGATAAATTATTGTCAGAATAATCCGAGATGTCATCTGCTTCAAAAATCAAATATTCGGGTGATGGTGAACTCTGTGTGTGTGCCTCTGGCAAGGATGACGAGGGCAGCGGTATTATTTTTTCTGCACTTTCTGAAATTAATGCAAAATCCGAATTTCCTTGCCTTACTTTTCGGAATATTTTTCTTGATCGTGCTTTCTCCATTACTCATCTCGAACTAAAGAATTGTCCCTCTTTCTTTACAACGGAGAGAGCAGCATTTAGGTTTCTGTGACCAACAACACTAGAAATTCTCGTGAATTTCTGGTGTTCGAAAACACGAGTTTCGGGTTGTTGTAATTCTCGGGTTGTACATGTGTTGTGAACGAGAAAATTGGTGATAAAGAATCCGTTTGAAAGTCGTTTTTGTAATACGTGTTACGAACGTGTTTAAAAAAATATTTACACGAATAATGCCCCAAACACGAAATTGACACCGGGGACACCAATAATACATGTGATTTTCTCGGTTGGTGCAGCCTGGGATATATCATTTATCTCACTTGGGGCTGAGTGAGAAATATGAGAAATAATGAGATAAACTTGCAGTTCATGACCCCGTCCGCTAGGTGGCGCTAGTGCATGACTCATAAATCTCACTACATCTCATATTTCTCATGTCTCACTATTTCTCATTATATCTCACTGAGATGAGATTTGTGAAGGTGAGATGAGATTTCTGCAACCCTGGTGTGGATACTGAATGAAACTAGCCTTCAACTTGGGTAAAAGTTTCGCTTACGTGACCATCACATTTAATAGCGTGGATAATATGCAGTGAAAGACGGGGTGAAATATGTATAATGTCGCACTTAATTTTACCCTAGCATTTAACGTCACCTATTAATTTTGTATAACTGAGAACGTTGGACTAACCTATTCAGCCTTATCAAACACTTTAGTAAGCAAATGCAAAAGTCTAAAAAAAATGCTAACAGTTATTTTTACTGGACTTTGCTTGCCAGTCGACTTTGGATGACATAAAGATACCACGTTTCTTGTGAGTGTTATCTACCATTGATTCTTGTTTGGTGTATGGCGTGACATTACGCAACGGGCGAGCGTGTGTCTTACACAAAATTTTCCTAATGAATAGATACATATAATCAGACATGCATAAAAGTTTAATCAAGTTCATATTTCTGCTCATTTGCAAATCAACCGACAACGTCTCCACATAAGTTGAAGATTGATTAAAAAATTAAAAAATTTAGAAAAAATGAAGATCACTTTAGTTTTGGTCTCGATTTTATTTCTGTCTGCAAGTCCAGCTCATGCAGGTAAGGATAGTACGTAAAGTTTAAAATAAAAATAATGCATACACTGTAAATAAAGTTGAGTAAAATTGCCACCAAAGCAACTGTTGAGCAAAATTCACCCTGACAAAGGTAAAATTTACTCAAGGTTGTGCAAAAATCTTTCAACCTTGAGTAAATTTTACCTTTGCCAGGGTAAATTTTACTCAATAGTTGCTTTGGTAGCAATTTTACTCAAAATTGAGTAAATTTTAATCAAATTTATTTAGAGTGTAGAAATTGAATATTTTATTGTTATTAAGTGACTACCTAAATTTATTTTTAGACCCGCTATCAAGTTTGGTAGAGGAAGCGAGCAATATAACCGACAATCTTTCTGGTGTGATCAGTAAGTCATTTTTATTTATGGGGAATTTTATACGAACGCCACGTAAAATCCGACGAGATCCATTTGACCGATAATTAATTTATATCCGCTGTTTCCGATGCAAGAATTAAATTCAAGAAAGTGGTTTCTTGCAGAAATTTTTATCAGCAAGAAATGCAAGAAACTACTTCCCCAAACTGTAGTTCATAGGGCGCGTCGCTAGATGGCGCACCCGTTTTTTGCGCTTTCTTGCATTTCTTGCTTGAAAAAAGTTAGAAAAACGGGTACGAAACGAAACATTATTTACCTCCAGACCTCCAAAATTTTACGACACTAGAATAAATGTGTCCGACTTTCAAACGGTTTTATGAAATTTTTAATCTTTTGTATGCACGAATTTTTAACTAACCCGGGTGAAAATCGTATGTCGAATTTGACATAAATTGACACAAGTGGCCGAAACAATGGTTTATGCAGAAAATGTATGAACGATCTTGCACAAAACTACTGACGGGTATATGCTGCAGAAATGTTTTGCACAATTATGTATGCATAATTCTGCATATTTTATGGGCAAATTGTTTCGGCATAAATTTTTCTGCATAAAATCCAGCCAAGTTTCTGCATAAATTCCTTAAGTTTTTCACCCGGGATGCTGTTTTATTTTTTACGCGTTATTTCAGGAACATTGACGGACCAGGGTATAGGAGCTTTTTTGAATGCAACCAACTCTCTTGCACAGTTTCGATCGGAGACGTTAGATTCTTTCCTTGGAATTATTTCGAACTACACATCTACTGGGTTTGCTTCGCTTGAGAATGCCGCCAAAGATGCCGCTGAGGTCGGAGTGAACGTCACAGAAATACTTTCCGACGCAACAGGAAAATTGAATAATCTTGCTGACCAAACCGTTCAAAACTTTGGTCAAGGGGTAGATGCCATCATGTCCGACGCTCGTGGAGCCTTGCAAGTTGATATCAACAAAATAAGCCAAATGATAACAAAACTCACAGGTTATCCCGTTAGGATAAACAAGTGCTTGATATCATTGCGCCCAATTGCATGTTTGACTACCTTCATAACGGATGCACGTAACGATTTATCCAGTATCCCCAGTATGTTGGCTGATATGACGGTCAACACACGGAACACAATTGACGCGGCTGTGACAAATTTGGAAAATCTGACACAACAAATGGTCACAGATGCTGGGAGCAGTTTTGATAAAATTATTAAGGATGCAAATCAAGCGGTGGCTGCCGCAATTCAAGGTGCCACTGGGATTGTGGGGACTGGTAATTAAATAGTATGCTTGAGACCCTAAGGTAGAAGTAAATTTAATTGGTTAATTGGTTATTTTGAAATCAAAATTGTTAAAGTTTGAGTCTGGAAATTATTGTGGTATAAAATCAGTTAAAATTCTTTTAAAATATTTTAAAAATAATTGAAATAATAAATATTATGATGTTTGATTAATAAATAATTTCTTTCCAAATTTATATAACTCTATTAAATTAAGTAACTAAATTTTAAAACCCCTAATTGATTTATGGTTACTGTTTTAAAACTGGATTTATTTTATGGCTCTTCATTTTATTGAAAGAATTAAGCATTGGGTTTTTACTCATCAAAAATAAAAATATGTAAGAAGCGTACATACTCACGAGGGGAATACATATTGAGAATTGTAATTATCCAAACTTGCAAAATTTTCGAGATTTCTCGGGATTTTTTGCGCATTTAACAATTATGTAAAGAAGGAGCTTTTATTTATCAAAGTTAGAGCGAAAAATTTATTTATACTCATCTATTTAACGAAAGTTTTATTTTCTTTGCATAAACGAAATCCAATTACATATTTCCATCGAAATAAAAATTATGTCAGTTAAGTCATGACGACCTTCCTTCTCCTTGAATGATTACTCGAATAATTAAGGTGGATAAGGTGATAATTAAACATTTGATGGAAGTTTCCCTTGCTGAGAGAATTTGGTTTATAAGTTTGTCCCTAGTTAATGAAGATTGTTGCTTAAATTTAAGTTTTTTCCTAAAATATACCAAGACGTTTAACTTGGGTTAGCGTGAATTCAATATATGTATTACGTCATCATTTTACTGGATGGGTGATTTTTGTTTTCCTATCTACCCCATGTTAAAATTCCATATCCCTTAATTTATACGTTGGGTGTGCTAAAATTGACAATTCTTGAGGGCGCAATATATGGATCGCCCCTTTGGGAAAAAGGCCTTTGCTATTTTTAGTCATTTGCAGGAGGGTGTTCGCCTCTCTAACCCTTCTACATACATGTAGAAAAAGAGAAAAAGGCATTCACACTTTTTCCAAGAACAATTTAAGCAACCCTTTGAAAAGTAAATCAATCTAAATTCTACACTCCAAATAATCTGGAGACAAACCGAGGTACTACATAGTGTACTCTGTTTGTGTAATGGCCACAAAGAGATTTTTTTGACCTACGGAGAATAAATGAAAAAACTAGTCGTTAACGGAACAGAGGTCACATCGTTATTTTTTTAAAACATGAATACTTTTACATATTATCCGAATATTTATTTATAAGACTTTTTCGCATGAAAGTGTTTTTTGATAACAACGTCACGTGTGTTTGTGACTTATTTTCCCTTGGTGACAAAACGTCCTAGAAATAATTATTCAAAAAGTGGAGCACAATAGTACCTCCAATATTTGTTTCCAAATTATTTAGAGTATACATATGTAAATATATAAAGTAAACTGTACTAACTCCTGAGTAAAGTACAGTAGATAAAAGGTGATGAAGTTTACGGTATCAACCTTTTAGTACATAATTTATATTTACTTTTGGGTGGCAGTATTTTTAAGAGTGTAGGTCATTTGCATATGTACCTATATACATATTTACTGGATTTCTATAAATATGACACGCACCCTATTTAACTTGTTGAAGGCCCTTGACCCTTGCCATTTCTGTCTCACACCTTCACTCTAACAGTCCCGGACAGATTTATTTCTGAGGAAAAATCTGGAAGCACATTCATCAAGAAATAATCGGAACTAGGCAAGTCTTACATTTATATATACGTAATTATTTTTTAATTATGCTTTTGACGCATCACGAAAGCAATTGGCATGCTGTAAGGTATGACTTAATTTGGGTGGAAGGGAAAAGTCGTCCTGAAAAATTGCAGAAGAAAGCATAGCTCGCAATAAATTGGTCTATGGTGCATGGTACATCGATGGACCATCTTAAAACTGGTCAATGGTCCATCTTAAAACTGGTCAATGGCCCATCGATGTACTATCTTAAAAATGGTCCATGGATGGGCCAATTTTTTTGTGGTCCATGGTCCACTGCTATCGGAGGAAGGCAATTTTTGTTTCTTAAGGCTATTGTTACACCGTCATATTTAGATTTTTTTCTCACCTTGCCCTTATTTTTATTTTATTTTTTAAGTTATGCTAAACTCAAACTTACCCTCAAATTGCTCAACGTAGCTGAATCCAGTAATCGCTTGAGTTCCTCCGTGACAAGATGTTCAACGCATTGGGGTTTATATTATATTGTTGGGTAGATAACAGATTAGTTTGTAACTCATTGAAATATTTTTTAATCCGATCAGAGAACAATAAATAATTCGTGTGACAAAACTGACCAACTGACGAACAATACTGGTTGCGGTGATGCAGCCCGCCCAAGTCAGAAAAGTAAAAATTAGCACGTGCCATTGTTACATTGACGTTAATTTAGTACGCTGGATTGAGCAGCTCACTGTGTTACACTATGCTTAGTCACGTCAACACGACGACGTGTTATTTTCACCATTGTGACTCACTAACGTGTATTCTGTTGGTTAACATTAATTCGAGTATGCAAAATGACTCGTTGGACACTCAAATTTTACACTGATAAAGTAGGTTCGATCTTTACATCTCATAAAGTAACCAGGATTTTTAACAGTGTTCCTTATCACACTGGGTCATTTCTATGAAGAAATATGTACAGTTAATCTAGGTTATTTTCGCCTTTCTGAGTTTTACTATAAGTTATGGAAAAATCTTAATTTTCCATGATTTTATTGTTTAATTATTTAAATGTCCATTTGGTTTACATAATGTCCATGTTATCGCTCTGTCCATATATTCTGCTGTCCCTTTTTTATCTGTACATAAGTTAGGGGTACACGTTTTGTCTGTACATGTTCGATCCTTGTCTACTATATTATTGTCCACGCAACCGCCTAGCACCGTTATTTTGAACGATTTCTTCTACACAAATAAACTATTAATTTCGTTCCCAAAAAATTAAAGATATTTCTCATGATACATAAACTGCAATGATAAATTTTCGATCTGAAAGTAAATATTAGTAATTTCATACTTTGCAGGCAAACATGGTAAAACTAGAAAAGGATGCAAATTCACAAGAATGGAAAGTTGGACAAATTCCGTGCGTAAGTGTGAAGCTTTCTAATCTAAGGTTATTATCAACATAAATACTTATGCAAGTAACACCAGAGTTTCACCACGTCTAAAATAAACTGGTCACAATCCGTCCAATCCGTCGTTTTTTTGTCATTTTTAATCAGCCAATCAGGGTTTCTTGTCGTCTCACATCGGCCCATGCTTCCCAATTCATGGTTAAGCCACATCTGAAATTAGCCACTTCGTGACTTTTGTCTCAAGGAACATAAAAAACGAGTCATTTTTTGCCCTATACTAGTTTCCCAAAAAGTGAACCGGCTATACAAAAGCCCAAAATCTTGGCATGTTAAATTGTTGTGTGGGAAAAGTAGTACATAATATGTATTTATTGGAGCTTTTATGGAGGTTATAAGGTCACATTTTGAATAATAGTACCTTAAAGGGCAAAAATGGCTTATTTTGTATGTTTCTTGAGATGAAAATCACGAGAGGTTAATTTCAGGCATGTATTGGGAAGCATGACGATTTCAGGCGCGATGAAACCCTGTCGGCAGCATAATTCGGTCGGATTCGGTATACTCGGATTACGAATCAGATCCATTTAATTATCATATCTTCCAGATTATCCACCGCATCATGGAATTCATCCCGGTCCCAACCCTTCTCCAATTTACCCTGGTAAACTCCACGTGGGAATATGAAGCCAGGAACCACCTCCACTCTCGAACCAAGCTCCACCTCTACACCCCGGGGAAATATGAACCACAACTTTCCAAAACTATCGCGAATTACATGAACAAACCAGAGCACCACGGATACCCCAAAAATCTAGACATTAGCATCGACAAACAATCCAATCTTACCCAATTTCTCTCCGAATTTGCCCAATTTGCTGGAAAATATTCCAACTGGATTCAACATTTAAAAATTGATTGGACCTTGACCTCCGAAAAATCGCAATCTCACCAGTTCTTCGAAATTTGTTCCACTTTCACGAATCTAAAGTATTTCGAGCTGTATCCATTCGACTTATCGGGCAAGTGCTACGATCCTGAGGTAGTGAGCACTTCTTTTCAAAAGGATTTAATTCCTGTCGATATTTTATTCCCTAGCGTTCAAATCCTTTCCTTGAATTTGGGGTTATGCCCAGGATTTCACCGTGGGGACGAAACCCTAAAAGAAAAGCTGGTACGTGACATTCTCCCCCGATTTCCAAATTTAAGAAAGGTCGCAGTAAAAGATGACACTCCTCAGGGTGAAGATGGCTCGACTGGCTGGTTTTCAGATTTCACAAATATATCAAGCTTCTCACTACGGGTAAACTTCTGGGGGACACGAGGGACACACGCGTTGACGAGGTACCTCCCGCCTAGAACTTTGACCCTGAAATGTTTAGAGTTACAGGCAATTTCTTTCTCGGTTACCCCCCTTTATGAGCAATTGATCCACCGCTTTTCCCACTGTCTGGAACAATTTCACCTATTTTTGGTAAATATTTCAACCTCCGGGCATAGCTTACTTTGTGACCCGTGTCCCCTCCATATTCCGATCCTACCAAAACTCAAGGTTTTCAAGATATCTCGATCCAGGAACGAAAATGCGTGTAAACACTTTCTCGGAATTAGGTTAACCTTTGAGACGGAGTGCTCGCAATTCCCGCTCAATTACGCGAAACAGTTTCCCTCTTTGTTAAAAGTACAGGTTTTTGAACCAAGCAAAAAATGGCAGAGGTATATTAGTGATCAGGAATTTTTTGAAGGAGTGGTCCCATTTTTGTATGCAACTTTTTTGAAAGAGAATATTCCTGCGTGTCAAACTTTGAGAGAATTTCGGTTTCCGGTTCCACTCAGGGCGAAGTTTCAACTGGGTTCGATCGATAGAAGTAAAAAGACTGCGGTGTGGGTGGATAGCAGTGAATATTTTGCCAGGATTAGGAAAACTTTTCCGGGCGTGGATTACCACGTGGTGAACCCAGTTTGGAGTAAAGAAAGGATAGATAAAGTTGAGAGGTTGGTGAAAATTGCGGTGGATTTAGGGTTTTGTGAGGAAACTGTGAGTAAAGGGTTGAGGGATGGGTGTTTGATGGATAATAATGTGCAAATTTGATTAAACGGGGCACGGGTAACTCGACGAAATCAATTGGACGACAGTATAGCACCTCCTAACAATTAGTATCAGATAAGCAAAACAAATAACGCGTTGAATTTGGAAAATATTATTTTCGAATGTTAACCCTTTCGACGATTTGTCGTCTACGAGTTGTCCCTCATTTTCAGTTATCGTAGGTCCTGATTAGGCAAACAATTATCATCCCTATAAAAAATCGATACTTGCAGATGAATCATTTGAAAAACAGTACAATATAATTTAGTGTCAGTCGGTAAATATGTACATAAAACCATGCATAACTGTCCGAAAAATATTTATTCATTTAATTTTCATAAAATTTCAACATGGTAAAATATTGTTTCTTCATTGTACATGAGAGATATGCTTAATTGTCCACGTAGTTCAATACTTCGATAAGTTTTAAAGTAATTAAGCATTTGTTGGTGGGGTCTGTTTTCTTTTGTAATTTTTTGTAAATTTTTGAAAGTACAGGGTGGTCCAAGAAGCTGTATAAAAGTTTAAGCCACCCCAGTTCAAAGCGGGGATAATAAAATTCAAATTTCAAACCCAAATCGTGGAGAGCAACTCAGAAAATAGTTTTGTGATTTTTTTTGTAAACCTAATTTCAAAAGTGCTCCCACGATGATCAGGTGAAGGAGAGGTACCGGTGAAGGGCTGTTCCAGTCGATTTTCACGGGAAACGTTATAAAAAGAGCTTAAAGTATGTTTCCATGGAATGAATTTGCAATTAATTTATAGAGTGGTACCTGGTAGACATATGCAAGGTAAATCCAAGGGTCTAATATCATTGTCACCACTGAGAAACTACCCAATGCTAAATGCCCGAAAAAGCTGAAAATTTGGTTTATCTGACTGAACCAACCACCAAGATCCCTTATCCCAACTCAGCACGGTCCAACGGTTAGCTTACAATAAATCAACTATCCAGAGAACCATTAAAACTGATTTAGGAAATATCATAACAAAAATGACCTAAAGTAGGTCGACGCATTGTGAGAAATCAAACTTTTTTCCGCTTACTGCGGACAAATCTCACAAGTGCGCAAAAACGGACGACGATAATTTTGGTTCTGCAGTCACACAAAATCAAGACATCCCTAGGTGGTTATCAGACATTGATCGATTGGAATATTAAAGATGTTTCGTAGTGGAATTACAGTTTTTACATTTGACGATTTACGAATTTTCACGTACTTTGGAATGCTTCAAATAAAGAGTGAAAATAAAACACCGTAGAAAAGTTCCTGGAAGTTTTTTTATCCGGTAAAAAGCGATATATTCTTGAAGATAAGAACAAGGACTATCACATCCAGCAACTTTGGAACCCATAAAGTTCCGCCTGCGGGCTAGAAAAATTACGGAATATTTATACAGCTTCTTGGACCACCCTCTGTATTTACATATGTAATCTAATACTTATTAAAACATTTTACATAATCGTATTTTTTTATTTTTTGGAGTTTACATTTGTCCACAAAAATTATATTTAACTTATCTCAAATTTATATTTTACATTAGGATTTTTTAACCATTAGCAAATTAATAAGTAAAAACGTGTATCACCTAAATTCAAAGTACATTTGTTAATAAACATATACATACATACGTAATTACCATAAATACAAATAAATACCTAAGATCTATTGCGCTTTGGATATATGTATGTATGTAGTGCACAAATAATAAATTGCATTCAATTCTATAATTAATCTTACATGACTGACTTATTAGCTCACCCTGCGTAGCATGAGAGCTATTGAATTCCTCTTGTCCGTCTGTCTGTCCGTCTGTTAACGAGTTTTTTGCATGAATTGATGCTAATTAAAAATCGCCTTGACCATTATTGAAAGTTAGGCGTACCATTGGTATTGAACAACCCGAATCGAATTTTGTAATAAATTAATAGCACAGTTGATATCTAACAATCGGTAACACAAAATGATGCGAAATAATTGGGAGATGGGATGCATAACGCACCATTAGTGCAAAATATCCGGGAGAAATGGTCATACAATTTTGACAAAGTTTTCAAAATTATGTCTCCCAGATGGTCGCTAATGCTGCACTAATGATGCAATGGCCAGGCGTTTTTGTTGCACCATAAACGGTATATATAATGAATATATAATAGTTGTGATCTATTTTGTTGGCTTATTCCGCACCTTCAGTGCAAAGTTCTGTCTAAATCATTATGACAGGGTGAGCAAATAAACCGACAACGTCTCCACATAAGTTGAAGATCTGTTAAAAAATTCAGCAAGCTGGAAAAAATGAATATCATTTTGGTTTTGGTCCCGATTCTATTTCTGTCTGCAAGTCCAGCTCATGCAGGTAAGGATGGTAAATAAAGTTTAAAATAAAAATAATGAATAGAATGTTTTTTTATAATAATAATAATAATAATAATAATAATTTTTATAATTTAATTGAATATTTTTTTGTTGTTAGGTGACCACCTAAATTTATTTTCAGACCCGCTTCTAGTTTTGATAGAGGATGCGAGAAATGTAACCCAAAATCATTCTGGTGTGATCGGTAGATCATTTTTATTTGTCGGGAATTTTATGCGAACGCCACGCCAAATCTGACGAGATCCATTTGACGGATGATTAATTTATTTAGCAATTTTTATCGGCAAGAAACCCAAGAAATTACTTCCCCCAACTGTAGTTCATAAGGCGCGCCCGTATTTTCCACTTTCTTGCATTTCCTGCCTTGCAGTGCAAGAAGTGAGAAAGACCAGTACGAAACGAAACATTATATATCTCCAGACCTCCGAGATTTTACGACACTTCCATATGTACATAAATGTGTACGATCTTCCAACGGTTTTGGGAAATTTTTGATAGAATTTTTAACGTTTGTTTGTTTCAGGAATATTGACTGACCAGGGTTCCGCTATTGTGAATGCAACCAAGTCTCTTCAACAGTTGCGATCGCAGATGTTAGATTCTTTCCTTGGAATTATTTCGAACTACACAAATACAGGGTTAGCTTCGCTTCATAATGCCGCCAATGTTGCCGCTGAGTTAGGAGTAGACATCACAGAAATACTTTCCGAGGCAGCAGGAAAATTAAATAATTTTACTGACCAAACCATTCAAAAATTTGGTCAAGAGGTAGATACCATCATGTCCGACGCTCTTGGAGCCTTGCAAGTTGATATCAACAAAGTAAACCAAATGATAACAAAAATCAGAGGTTATCCCCTTAAGCTATCCAAGTGCTTGATATCATTGCGTCCAGTTACATGTTTGACTAATCTCATAAAGGATGCACGTAACGATTTAAACAGTGTCCCTAGTAGGCTGGCTGATATTGCGGGCAGCGCACGCAACACAATTGATGCGGCTGCCACAAATTTTCAAAATCTGACACAACAATCGGTCACAGATGTTTTAAGCAGTATCAATAAAATTGTTGATGATGCAAATCAAGCCGTTGATGACGTAATTCATGGTGCCCCTTCTACAATGCCAGGGGGGATTGTGGGGACTGGTAATTAATTAAATAGGAAGAAAATAGTATGCCTGAGACCCTAAGGTAAAACTGAATTATTTAGAATGTTAATGTGTAAAGAAACATGTACATAAATATGATGCATAAATGGTGAGAATGCATGTAAAAATATGTAAAAGCCAAATTGCATGAGAAAAGGTAAGCAGGAAATGCATATGTGTGTATATGATGGATGGCACGAGAAGCTTGCTCGACTCGCTAGGCAGCCATCTCATACTCTCGCTTTGTGTCACCCACCAATGGATACAATGTAAATGCATCAACTTTGTTCATGAAAAGAAAAGCGAAAGATGTATGCATGCATATTAGTTATGTAACCGTCAATTCTCGGAAAGACCGAAATAACTGCGACTCAGGTCACGTAAGCAGCTTGCTTTCGCGTCCGACCTTCCGTATATAAACGGTCACGGCCCATCACCACAACAGGTCCAAAAATCTATGTGCTAAAGCAAAAGCTGTTATGCACAAGCGTGTTTAATTAAATCTCACGTTACCTCAAATGAGAAGAAACGGAGAAAATAAATATACACGTATCAATTTGCCTCATAAAGAATTATAAATAACAAAATATCAATTTACCCGTAATAATAATAAATATTGCATGCATGAAATATATGTATGTGATATGCCAAAGTGTAAATAAATGTAACATCGTTATATTATTATAAATATTAACCTTTTCGTTGCCAATTTAATTATTTGCATAAAATCAACTGCCACAATTAAAAATAATATAAAATTACTTATCATAATTTCTCACGAACCTCAAAATAAATTAAATCGGTTAATTGGTTATTTTGAAATCAAAATTCTTAAATTTTGAGTTTGAAAATTATTGGGGTATAAAATGATATAAAATTCGTTTAAAATATTTTAAAAATCCTTATAATAATTTATAAATACATTGGGATTTGATTGATAAATAATTTCTTTCCAAATTTAACTATATTAAATTAAGTAACGAAATTCTAAAGATGCTAATTGATTAATGGTTATGGTTTTATAATTGGATTTGTTTTATGGTTTTTTATTTTATTAACAAAGTTAAGCACTGATCTAAAATAAAAATATGTAACTAGCCTACTCACGAGGGTAATGCATATTGAGAACAGTAACTACCCAAACTTGCAAAACATGCGAGACTTCACAGGATGTTTTGGAAATTTAGCAATTAAATAAGACACTTTATTTATCAAAGTTAGAGAGCAAAATTTATTTATACTCTTCTATTTAATAAACCGTTACAACGCATGTAACCAAGGGGTGAAAGGAGTGTCATACGTCAATGTGAATATCAAATTGTTCGAAAATTTGTTAAGATTGACACTTCTGACGTGTTTTCGACTTTTGTGTCTTATTTGTGTCAAATTTAACAGTTGATAACCCTTATGTGACCTTTATATGACCTCTGAGGTCAAAATGGAGGTCACCAATGAATTCGGGGTTAAATTTCAGTTGAAATAGAAATAGATATGTCCTATGACCTTTACATGACCTCTGAGGTCAAAATGGAGGTCACCATTGAATTTGACATTGAAAAATAGTTAAAAATGATGTGTCACATGTCAAAACTGACAAGTGACACTTTTTCGTCACTTTTCGTCACTGTGACGATGTCATCGTCACAGGTGACGTCCAAACACAAAATGACCTGAATTTTCGAATTCCTCGTTGAAAATTAGTTAAAAATGATGTGTCACATGCCAAAACTGACAAGTGACACTTTTTCGTCACTGTGACGACGTCATCGTCACAGGTGACGATGTCACAGTGTCCATCTTCGAACTCGTCCTGTCCATTGACGTTAGGAGTTTACGTTCAAAATTTCAAGTGTCTATGTCTTTTCGTTCAAAAGTTATCGGAGCTACGGACAGACAGACGGACGGACGGACGGACAGACAGACGGACATAACGATCTTATAAAGGGCTTTCACCCCTTAATAAAAGTTGTATTTTCTTTGCATAAACGAAATCCAATTATGTCCATCATTAGACCACAACTTGCATTTAACATTTGAATCAACCCATAAATACGGACACTTTGATGCATAAAATGTTTTTTAGTATTTCTTATTTTGAGGCGCTTACAAGGTATGTAACATACCCAGGTGTCCAATGAGTTGAGGGTCGACACCTATACCAAAATGACCACAACACATGACTTATTCAACAAACCGAAGGAATTTCCGTGTAAAATTCACTTTTCGTCAAATTGTAACGATATTGGTGACGAGTTTATGACCATTGGGGTTCCCAGAGGGACTCGGGAGAGGTCATTGATTACCACATGGTGAACCCAGGTTATACTAATGATAGAGGATTGAAAAGGTTGAGAGGTTGGCAAAAATGTTGATGGATTTGGGGTTTTTGAAGGAAAATGTGAGCAAAGCGTTGAGAGATGGATAATAATGTGCAAACTTGTTTAATCTGGGAACGGGTAATTGGGCGAATGGACAACTCGTCGAAATCAACTTGACGAAAGGATAACCCCCTTCTTCCAATTAGTGTAAGATATGTAAAACAAATAAATCGGTTCATTTTAAAAATATTATTGCATATAATTATAATATTATTTTCTTTCATTAACCAGTTCGACGAGTTGTCTTCGACGAGTTACATTACTTGGGATTCCCTAGTTTTCGACCAGTTACCATAGATTCTGGTTAGTCAAGCAGCAATTATCCGCCCTATAAAAATTGATATCAGCAGATGAATCATTTAAAAAACAGTAAATTATCAATCAGGCGGAAAATATAACCACAACTGTTAGAAATATATTTATTCATTCAATTTTCATAAAAGTTACATATCGTAAAATATGGTCTCTTTATTATACACGTATGTATGATATGCTTAATTATCCACGGAATTCAATACCTAGTAAGTATTGTAAGTAAGCATTTGTTGGGTAGGTTTGTTTTATTTTTGTATTTGTTTGTAAATATCAGAACCAAGAATTG